CCTCAGCCTCCTCGTCCTCAAACTAAACAGTCCCAGCTCCCTCAATCACTCTTCTTTATTCTCCAGGCCCTTCACCAGCTTCGTTGCCCTCCTCTGCCCTCGCTCCAGCACCTCGATATCTCTCTTGGATTGAGGTGCCCAAAACTGGACACACACTCCAGGTGTGGCCTCATCAGTGCTGAGTACAGGGGGACAATCACCTCCCTACTTCTGCTGGTCACACTATTTTTGATACAAGCCAGGATGCCGTTGGCTTTCTTGGCCACCTGGGCACACGGCCGGCTCATATTCAGCCACTTGTCAATGAGAACCCCCAGGTCTCTTTCCTCCAGGCAGCTCCAGCCACACTTCCCCCAGCCTGTAGTGCTGCAGGGGGTTGGTGTGGCCCAAGTGCAGGACCTGGCACTTGCCCTTGTTGAAACTCATGTCGTTGATCTTGGCCCAGTGATCCAATCTATCTAGGTCCCTCTGTAGGGCTTCCCTATCCTCCTGGGAGTCAACACTCCTGCTTAACTGATATCAAGATTAACGGCATGAGTTTCATGTTACAGTCTCCTGTAAATGCTTAGACACCCAGGGTACCCTTGTCCTTGCTAGCTCTCTCTGCTTTTCCCCTGCAGGGGATGCTGGCCGAGTGGGCGAGCAGTGGTCCAGCAGGTCCAGCCAGAGCGGAGCTTGCTGCCTGCATCCTGCTGCAGTGGGGGGCTTCACCTCCGCTCCTCTGCAGCATTCAGCTCCCTGAGACCACAACCAGGAGGAAAATGGAGTGCCCACAGAGGCTGCATTGATTTTGGCTGAAACTACCTTAAGCTTCAGGACTGCCTGGAAGGGACTGAGAAGGGTTGTTATGCTGACCAAGAGAACAGTTGCGTTGGTTTTGGAGACTTCTTATGTGGTTGTGTCCTACCCTGCTGATGTAGCAAAACCTCAGTTATCCCTGCTGAGGGTTGGCATGTACACTTTAACTCATGGCATGTGTTTCAGGTTCTGTCTTGGCACTTTTTCAGGTATGAGACTTGGTAATCCAGGCTTCACTTAATTCCCTTATCTTTAGCACTGATACAAGATTACTGGCTGGAGGTCTGGGCCCAGAGAGTGGTGGGGAATGGAGTCAAATCCAGTTGGTGGCCAGTCATGAGTGGTGTCCCACAGGGCTCGTTACTGGGGCTGGTTCTCTTTAACATCTTCATCAATGATCTGGATGAGGAGATCAAGTGCACCCTCAGTCAGTTTGCAGATGACACCAAGCTGGGTGGCAGTGTCGACCTGCTGGAGGGTAGGAAGGCTTTGCAGAGGCATCTGGACAGGCTGGATGGATGGGCCAAGGCCAATGGGATGAGGTTCAATCAGGCCAAGTGCCGGGTCCTGCCCTTGGGTCCCACCAACCCCCTGCAGCGCTCCAGGCTGGGGGCAGAGTGGCTGGAGCTGCCTGGCAGAAAAGGACCTGGGGGTGTTGGTCACCTGTTGGCTGAACAGGAGCCAGCAGTGTGCCCAGGTGGCCAAGGCCACCAGCATCCTGGCCTGTGTCAGGAGCAGCGTGGGGAGTAGGAGTCGGGAGGTGATGGTCCCCCTGGACTGGGCACTGGTGAGCCCCCACCTCGAGTACTGTGTCCAGTTTTGGGCCCCTCACTACATGAAAGACATGGAGGGGCTGGAGCGGATCCAGAGAAGGGCAATGGAGCTGGTGAGGGGTCTGGAGAACAAGTCTTGTGAGGAGAGGCTGAGGGAGCTGGGGGTGTTCAGCCTGGAGAAAAGGAGGCTGAGGGGAGACCTTCTCGCTCTCTCCAACTCCCTGAAAGGAGGGTGTAGCTGGGGTGGGGGGGGGTCGGTCTCTTCTCCCAAGTCACAGGTGATGGGACAAGAGGAAATGGCCTCAAGTTGCACCAGGGGAGGTTCAGATTGGAGATTAGGAAAAATGTTTTTATGGAAAGGGTTATGAAGCCTTGGAATGGGCTGCCCAGGGAAGGGGTTGAGGCACCATCCCTGGAGGTGCTCAAAAGATGGGTTGACATGGTGCTGGGGTACACGGTTTAGTGGTGGTTTTTTTGTCAGAGTTGGGTTGATGGTTGGACTAGATGATCTTGAAGGTCCCTTCCAACCTAGATGATTCTATGATTCTATGTGTCGCTCTGCAGGAGCATCTCTTGTTTTCAGTGGACTTGTCCAGTTCAGCTATCATATAATTTTCCTGGTCCATATTATGCCACTGAGCTATTACTTTCTCAGTTGTATCTGTAGCATGCAAATAGCTTAATGGACTGATGGTGTTTAGAGTCCAGAGAGCAAATTCTCAGCCTCTTAGTGAATCAGAAAACAGCTCGGTAAATGTGCATTTAATAGTAGGATGCAATGGCTGAGTGCCCAAGGCAGAAGTTAGAGGAAATACTTAGGAATGATAAAAGTCTCATAGGTCTTGTTTCCATCTTCATTAGATCTTACCTCAAGCTTCTTGGTACAAAGGAAGGAGAGGGTCCTCTGCCTTACTTGAGTGCTGTATTTGCCACCTAACATCAGGACAGACAATGAACACATGGTTTAGTTGCCCAAAGAAAGCAGGTATTTAGGCTCTCAGAAACTCCAGTTGCTTTTGTCTCAGTAAATTCCAGGATCTGCTGTTTCTGTGGCATTCTCATTAACTAAAAAAAATACAGTAAAAGAAAAACAACAAACAAACAAAGCAAAGTTACTTAAAAATATGTACACTGGAAAGCCTGGGAATTTGCGACATGGACCAGAAGTTCTGGCAGGGAGATTTACTTCAAAATTACAGTTACTCTGAGAAGTTTGTATAGCAGTGAGTATGATGTCTAAAGGGCAACTTAAAAATTAATATAGGAATATTTTTACTGATTAATCAGGATTGGTATTTGCCTGGTACTCAGACAGCACTTTCTCTGCCAGTGCAAACAATCTGTGTGTGGAGTTTTTGAGCTCAGTATAAGCACAGTGACATTTTTGACCTGGGTTCTATTTCAACTGCAACTATGCCTCTTGTTTAAAAGAGGAATAGGGAGATATATATTGATTTCTTCTACATTGTTGAATTCCAGAATTGCTAATCTCAAATGTGTTTCATGTGGTTTTGCATGTACAGGATGGATAACAGAGGGAGAAGAGAATTTATCCTTACTTAACTAATTGTTCCTAATTATTTTCAATATAACGGACAATTGACTAAATAGTTGTTTCTCTCCTGCAGCCTCCTCCTCAGATATATGATAAACAGCTGGATGAAAGGGAACATACAATCGAGGAATGGAAAGGTAATCGCAGTTTAGAATTACATGGGAAAGGATATTTCAGTGGCAAAACGGCCACGTCCCACCAATAATTGGGACATCTGTGTAAAAACGTAAGAATTTCTTTGTCATGAAGAACTGACAAAACCAAAAATTCCTTTGACACAAAGAATTAACACTAGCCCTACAGACTGCTGCTTTGGTAGTGAAAATATAAGCAGTGTCCTGAGGACTACCATTATCTACACAAGGTAAGTGTTAGCCCAGGAGGTGCAGGTTCCAGTGCTTCATTGAAATCTAAGGATGTCATCTGGAGAATGGGAAAAGCAATGTGTTACTGTGCCGCTTCATTTCTCGATAATGCAGCATGAAACAATTCATGTGTTCTAGTTTAGCCCTATTAGTCGTGATTCAGCTCCAAAAAGAAAGGAGAGGAGAGGAGGGAAATGGAAGAGAGAGGTCTTTGGCGAGTAGAGCTGTCAGGCTGGTGAGGACACGGCAGGGCAGGAAGAGGGGGCCCATGGGAGGGTTCATGGTGGTTGTTCTGTTCCCCATCACACACACTGGTTCCTGTGTGTAACTGCTGCAATTCTCTCTTCCAGAACTCATCTACAAAGAAGTAATGAATTCTGAAGAAAAGACTAAAAATGGCGTAGTAAAAGGACAGCCTTCTCCTTCAGGTACTCAGCCCCATTGAATAATTTTGACGTGTTTTCTGTACTGACAAAAAGAAAATGGAGATAGCTGAAGCACTCGGGCTACACTTGCAGCTATGTAGCCCAAGTTAAAAGGTTTTTATGAAATCCAGTGTTTCTCATGGGTTGACCATGATTAATTGCGCTCCAGTGTCATGTTGATACTTAAAAACTGGTCTGCTTGCTATTTGAGATATAGGTGTCCTGGTATTTCCTGTGGAAAGATCTGTAGTTAGAGATTATATTCCCGTGGGCGGGGAAGTTCATCTCACACTATGATGATTATACAGTTTATGGGTGTATATAACTGAGATAATACTCGGCCAGCTGATATAATCAAAATTGGTGATAGTATTTATTCATCTGTTGGACACGTGATGTTGCACACACACCCCCAGACCCAGGTAAGCATCTGTTGCCCACTCTGGTAGTTTATCCTTTCAGAAGTCTGATAACATTGGAATGGCTTACTGACAAGCTTGGTTGACACTTTGATGAGGATGGAAAGTTGTCTTCAAACACAGATTCTTAAAGTACTGTCACAAAAAAATCACAACTAAATTTTATTTGAGGAAAATTCACATCAGCACTCTTTTCACAAAAATGCAAAGTGTGCACAGAAATACATGTTTGTGAAAAGACACTTTCACTGGCAGACTTTGAAATGTCTGGATTTTGAGCACAGTGTTCCAGTAGCATTTATAGGTAAAACTCCCTACCTTTTGCAGAGCCTTTTCTCAAAGTAAAATAATATAATTCAGTGTTTTCTGCATATTTTCAGAGATTTTATTTTTTTTTTGTCACATTCTCATTTTTCACTTGCTTCTGAGCTAACTTAAGGCTAGAACAAGAATGCAGTAGTAGTAACTGACAGGACAAGGGGAACCCTGAAATAGAGTGCTTGATGGTAATAATTAGAGCAGTAGCACTGCATCTGGATTTTTACATCGATTAAGCAAGATATTGAAAACAATCCATTGCATTCATGCCAAGTAGCAAACAAAGTAGAGGTCTTGCAGATTTAATTTACCAAACTGCTGTACCACCACTGAAAAAAGAAATCTGGGGCCCTGACAAGTATGTAATAAATCCTCATTCTTAAATCTCTCTCCCCTACAGAATGGTGGCTGCAGTCTGATTTATCACCAACAAACATTGTAGTTGCTGGTTTCAGGAATTAACTACCCAGGGGTTTCTTTTTGTATTTCATGTTCTGTTTTTCCTATGTGGAAGGTTTTTATTGTTTGTCTAAAACACTTCCGAACACACAAAATTGCCATTTCTTACTTGTCTTTCTTTTGCCATTCCCCTTTGACTGTTTTTGGATTGTTAGGCACCAAGTAGTATAGCAACTATTCAAAAATTGCTCTGAGATGAGGCTGTTTTATGGTTTTCATCACTTTGTGCGCTTGACTAACCTTCTTTCAACTGAATGAAATACTGAAAGAATGAGGTAAAGTGAGTCACCAGTTCTGAGCATACAGATGAGGGAGACTCTGCACACACCTTGCTCACTGCTCAGTGTTCCTGGCAAGAATTCAGAAGGCGCCCTACCTGTAATCACAGCAAGCAAGCTGGAGATGAGCTTCTGTGATCCCTTGATCAGAGCTTTTGGGGAGACAGCTGCAATGGAGGGAGGGCATCAAGGGTAATAGTCGGCCATCGATAGTGCCTGTGGATCAGGCTGTGGGTCACTTAGTCCTGTGGACTGTGAAGAATTAGTTAATGCAAGAACATACAAGCTTGAAATGCGGGGCTTGGGGGGAACCTCAAGTCCCCCTTGTGCTCGTGTCCAATGAACACAATGAGCTGTGTCTAAAACAGTTGCCCACAGGTACTTCTGCTGCCTGCTCCAGAAAACCTCTGCAGGCTATCTTCTTTACTTTCAAAAATCTTTTTGTGTTGTCATGCCTGAATCTTTTTTTGCTGCAGTTTAACTCTGTTATTTCTCGTCCTGCCTCCAGAGGACATGGAGAACAGTTTCCTTCATTTTTCTTTCTGGCAGCTTTTAGCTCATGTAAATTCCATTATCGCCTCCCTAATTAGTCTGCCTTCCTTTGAACTTCTCTACCTGCATCTGTCAATCTTTCAAACTTACAGTTTTTCTCTACGTTTTATCTAGTTGATTTCTGTCTTTCATAGATCACAGTGTCCAAACTGATCTGCTTCAGGCACCCGTAGTGCTGAACAGAGTAGAGAGATTTGCGTGTAGGTGTGTTTTTATGTGTGATATAAATATCTAAGCGACATGTGCAAACAACATATGCATGTCTGCATGCACACATAAACATGGAATTTAATCTTAGACGGTAGTTCTTGTTTTTCTGTTCTCTCTATCTTACAAAATTTCTAAATCATTCTGTTTTATATATAAATTCAGATGTGGTACCTCTTACTGACATGCTCTCTATTCAGGGGGTCTATACTGTGTCATTACTTGGCCGGCAGAATAAAAGTGCTTACAATAAAGTGTTTTCTCAGCAGAACTCAGTCACAGCGACAGGTGTGAGAAACTGTTATGTGCATATTTATAGTAGATGTGCAGAAAGGGAAGAAAAAGTTGAGAAAAACAGAAGAGTGGTTGGAAGTATGGTATGGTGACTTGTTTTCTCAAAGTAATGTTTTAATTGCAAACTAGAAAGCAACAGAAATCTTCTCCTTTTGTCCATAGCATCATATATTTTGCCTAGACTATATAGATGGCTATTAATTTCTGTATTACGAATATATGAATTTTGTAATTTTACTAGGTCTGGATTTTTAGGTGTGTTCTCTTGCTTTTCAAGGCAATAGATGTTAATTTCTGTACATTTTGAGAAAATGAGTCAGCTGAGAAAACTTTTTGGCCATAAGAATGAAACAGCATCTATCTGCAGAACAAGGATCCGAGTGTCGGGGTGATTAGCTGTGACTTCTGCTGTGCAATACTATACAAAATCACACATTTTATTGTCATGAATATTTAATGAAAATTAACTCCCAAACTGAAGACAGTGTTAAATTGTGGTGGAAAGAGGACAACAAAACATCCCCTCAAAGTTCAGTGGAAAAAAATACCAATCAAACTGTTTGCTACTTTGAGAACTTAAGCATGAGTTGAGATTAATGGGCAGAGTGACAGATGAGCAGCCAGAGGTGCACGATAAGTACATTCTCCATGTGGCTCTCTACTTATCACACATGTATCTGCATTTATAGGACAGATAATGCCTGATAATATTCAGGGATGTGATAAATGTTCAGTCACATTAATAATATTCTCATGAAAGTACTTCCTTCGTTTCACAAAGTCAAAGGGATCTTTTGGATAATACCCGGTACTATCATCATTTTTACAGAGGGCAGGTAAATTAGGAAGCACAAAAATAGTGCCAGAACTGAAATCCTGGGCCTAGTCTACCTAGTCCTTAACTAAGAGGAAGAAACCAGCCTTGCCTCCCACGCAGGCATCTTCTCTCCATTGCCACTAGTTGATTTGATGCCACCCATTCTACTAAACTATCTACAAGGAAACTGGGATTTTATGAGAAAGTATGGAGGATTGGGCTGCTTTTCTTAATCATCTTTTTGGTGCCTGTGTGATCCTAGCAGACATCTGATCATTGTGTGTTTTCTAACTCTGAGGCTGGAAAGAAGTTCAGCGATAGACACAACATGAGCTCTGCCTCTGCGAACAGACTGTTGAGGAAGACAATTTCCTGGTGAAATGTTTAATATTATCTTACGCCTAAAGTTGTATGGCCCTTTTTCCGCTAATGTTTGCCGTCGCTTAGAATGGTCTGTGAACTTCAACGTCTGGCGTTCAAAAAAGCAGCCGTTTGCTTTTGAAAATGCGAGCGGTTTTGGGGGTTTCAGGTTTAATCACGGTGGTGTTTGTTTTCGTAGCACAGGTGCAGCAGTGAACAGCAGTGAAAGCCTCCCTCCATCCTCATCTGTCAATGACATCTCATCCATGTCCACGGATCAAACACTGGCGTCTGACACGGACAGCAGCCTGGAAGCTTCTGCGGGACCCCTCGGGTGTTGCAGGTGACTAGCCGCCTGCCTGCGAAACCCAGCGTTCTTCAGAGGGTGATGTAATTAAGGAGTAAAAATTAACAGGAGTTAAGAGATGAAAAGGAAGAGAAACAAAAATACAAAGGGTTAAACAAAACAAACAAACAAACAAAAAATATCTTTTCAGCCTGCTTCTCCTACAGAGTTATGTAATGCAGCTAAGCTCAAGTGTATATTTAACTTATAGTTGCTCTGCTTTGGTCTTTTTCCAATGATGCTTACTGGAGGGAAAAAAAAGGAAGTGAAAAATCCTTTTTTTTAACCCCTCCCTATAAGATGTAAAATTAATGGCTGCAAAACCAGCAACCTGCAACTGTCCTTTCCACACTGGCATGACAAGGTGTGCAGTAGCCACTCTCAAGCATACAATTGTGTGTCCGCCCTCACCCTCTGTTCTGTCACCCTCTGCCCAGTGAAGCAGATGGTAGAGATATACACGCATTTTTCTTCATATACAAACAGCACAGACACAGACGTGCCGATAGAATTCTGGCAGCGTAGGCAGCTGTGTGCCTGTAGGAACATGCACATCTATGCAGTGTGTACTTAGTGTGCACTCCACCAACCAATGGCCCATTTCAGGTGAACTGCATAACTACATACGTGACAGTACTAGTATATATTCCACCTGTTTGTTCACTGATGAAGCTGCATATCTTGTATGAGGATTTGTGGAAGTGTAAATAACCACGTCAGACTGTGGCTCCCTCAGAGACTTGAAGATGTAGCACCAACATTTCTGCTGAGTTGTATATATATTTTGAAACAATAACCAATTTGTATTGAAAGAAAGTCCACAGAGCTTCAAAGAAAAATGTTTGTTTGTGAATGTTAAGACTTGTTCTGATTTTTAGAGCAGACATGCCAAACTATGACCAGGTTAGAAGGAAGTACGTATATATTTGCAAGCTACAGGGAACAAGTATGAAGGCTTTTTTATGCATGTCTAAGCCCAGAAAGCTTTATCTCAGTAAGCAACTTTTCCTGTCAATGTTAAGTTAGTTATCATCTTAATTCATAGACAGGCTCACTATTATGAATGACACGTATGCTCGTGTGGTGGGGAGTACGAAAGGGCTGGGGAATGGGCAGATTATGGTCAAAAGGACATGCAACATCTTGTTTTTATTTTATGTCTAGATCTTTATTAGGCTAAATAGAGAAAGGATATTTGTGGCCCACTCCCTCTCAGTGTGTTTGTAGTTAGAGGTCGTTTGCCCGTTAAATCATTCCCTTGCAGAGTTCTCCAAAAGAGACTTTCACCAGGTGCTTTTGGCTGTTCATTTGCTTGAGACAAATCATCTGGCTCCCCAAGAAGTTTAATCAGCTATGTTAGGTGGAAAAGAACCACAGAGTGGTCTGGTACGCCCGTATTCTAAGGAATAGCAGAGGACAGCAGTCAGCTGGTGCACTGAGCTGAGAGGGGCTCAGGTGGGGATCTCCATCAGGTGTCATCCTGACAAGTTCTGAAGAACCCAACAGCAGCTGAATATCAAATTGATTTTACCAGGTAATAACACTTAGGATTCCCAGTTGTGAGTGTTTTTGCCAGAGAATGGCAAAACTTCACACAGAATTTCGGAACAACTGAGTATTTTTCCAGCCAAAATAGCCACTGCCGTTTTCCACTGTGAGGTCTTCGTTACCTGAGTTTGAAACGAACTAAAATCTGAGTCATCTCTCCTCTTACCAAAGTGTGCCATGTAAACTGAAATGAGCTAAATCATACTCTAATGCTTTTCCAAATGCCAGAGAGAGAAAGTGTTGAGAATATATTACTGGATATCTTAAATTCACTAATTCTTATGTATTCAAAATTCTACCAAAACAGGACTGTTCCATTACGTGGCTTACAAGCCTGCCATTCTGTGGTAGGAAAAAAAATTGAGTATCAAGTCAGATTGTGTTCACAGGGAAGAAAGCAAAGAAAAAAATTTCTCTCCAGGGTGGGAGGAGGGGAGATAACAATTAAGTGGATATAAACTAATTTCAGACTTGGTAGGTCTTAGCTGTCTTATAACTGTTGTAGGAATTATTTTTTCCCCAGGTATATTTTTGGGAGATTTTTACGGAATTTTTTTTGAGAATAAAATTAGGTTGATGATATTCTAAAAACAAAGAGCAGTAATTGTAGAAGCAATAATTTACGACTGCTAAAAATATTTAGCAATATTCTCTTTTAAGCCATGAAACATCCCATCATTGTTGAGTGATGCAACTCACTTCAAAGCCAATGATCATGAAAGTATTGAAAGGCAAAACAGCAATGCTCTGTAGGTACGAAGGCAATAACACCAAGGGTGACTTCTTAGCAATAATGAAATGTATCACCTCCAGATGTAATTCACCATAGAGATATTTTAATAATATTCAGGTAACTAGTATCTGCTTTACATTCCGTAGTGTGCACCGTTTGGGTGTGTTATTTAAACAAAACAAAAAAAAATAGTGTCTTAAAGAGGCAAAGCTGTATGTAAGAGAAACTGCAAAAAATACCACAAATGTAGAACCATAGAAACTAGGAATAATCACAATTCATTGCCAGTGATATTACGGAAATGTGGCACTGGCAATCACAGAGAAGTCATTTATAGTAGACAGACACTTAACCGGTCTCCCATGTTTCATCCATTGAAGCCAAAAAACGTGCTCTTAGTCTCATTGTGTAATTCAGTCTTGTCTGGGTTCGTAAACACTGGGTAGAGAACAAGCCACCACAGAAGATGGCCTAGTGACCGGCACTGAATGAACCCACAAGATGTGAGTTATATAGCTTTATTCCCAGAAGCCCTGATTCTACTAAGCACCAGTGCTTGCACCAACATGGAATGGAGTCTCCAGGGAGGGTACGTAATCCTTACTAGAGCCTGCTTTTGTCCTTTGCTTAGCACTGAGTGACATCAGCACCTGCTGAAGTGCCTTGCTGAGATGGGGCCTACAAGAATTACTGCATCTCTTTTTGTCCTCAAATTAGTCGGTCTCCTATATGTGAAGCTCTGTCTGGGGGAGGAGATTTGGGGCTGTCCAGAAAAAAGCCATCAACGAAGAAGAGCAATAGTTTGTTACGATTCTGGTCCTTGTATGTCCAAACTGAAGCAGCAACCATGGAATGGGAATAGCATCCTTTTGTGTGGCGTCAGGAAGCTGGTGCTGCCAGCTGATAACTTAGAAGAACGCACCTACTCTTGAATGCAGTGATGACATTCTGTAGCTGGTAAGGTAAACAACATTTTTCTTTCAAATTCTAGAAGCTTCGATACCCTTCTCTTCAAATCTGTTCCCCTTCATTCCAACATTCTCTTCAGTTTGATAATGACAGATGCTTTTCTTATTTTTCTTGCCAGTGGTCCTTTAAATCTACCTCTGTTTAAAATGCTACTAAACAGCACTTGAGTAACCATGTCCACCTCATTCTCCAAGGTCTGCAGTCGCGAGCGTAACTGCCACCACTGCAGAGATGTTCCATGGTATTTCGGCACTAAAGGAGCCACCAGAGAGCCTATGCACACCTTCCATGAGCATGAATGGCACCTGGACACACTGGTATTTTTGAAAATAGGCCTAAATGCCGATTGGTATCTTAAGTGCCTGAATACCTAAAGGAATTCTGTCCCAAGTGGCTTTATTTAAGTCACGTAGATAGCCATCAGCAGGGTGAGGAAAATGGCAAAAGAATCTTAAACTATCAGTGGTTGCTTAGAGCAGTAGTTGCAAAAGATAGCGTTGAGGAGGTAGAGAGGATAGCTGCTGCAAAACATTCCTGCTTTATTTTCAGGTGGAGTACTTCTGGATGGCATGAGAAACTAAAAAATAATAAAAAAGAAAGTTAGAATTGCTCTTAAGAGACCCTTCCTCCATTTTCCTTCTCACTGATGAGTTTAAATGAGGATGAGGTACTGATTTACTGCAAGTTGATGCAGGGCTATGCATGTTTTCAATCAAAAATTTTATGTAATCTTTGAAATCAATCTTCAGGTACTGACTTGGTAGCTGGAATAGTATCTTCTGTTAAAATGTAATAGATCTTTAGAAAGTTCAGATATTTGAGTTGGTCACACACTGATTTATTTGAATCGTACTGTTGTTGATAACCCTCCCATACTATCTAGAATTCCATAGCACAGATAGATTCAGGAATCTTAGCAAGCTTGCATTAAATAAAGTGGAGCCTAAATTGAAATGCAAGTATAGTAATGTGTTAAAAAAAAAAAAAAAGAAAGAAAAAGAAAAAGCTACAGAAAGCCAGATCAGGTTTTCCTCTGGAAATCCCCAGTTCCTGCACAATACTGGCCTCCAGAGCTTACACAAGAGATTACACTGTGCTGCTGCATCCCTCTTCTGAACTTATCTTCTATTCTTAACCAACAACAGATTCATATTTACGGTTTTATCTTAATGTATATTGCTTTATCTTCAAGCTTTGGGATAATGATACTGAAGAAACTAGACTTGTTGCAGCGCCTTTAGGAAGGTTTCCCCAGTAGTGCTACTTCACTGATTTGGATTGTATTATAACATTTGTCAGGGAGCACCAGTGATTTCTTTTCCACCAACATATTTTCTGATGAAAAATATGCTAATAGCCAATTTTAGAACTGCCTGAGAGAGTCAAATCTCCCAAATTCTGACTATCCTGAAATCATTGAAAATGTAATTGAAATATTTAAATTCAAAATAACCTTTAATAGCCAATGTTAGCTTATTTCTATTACAAGCTTTGCAGTATTTCAAAGGATCAAAAATTATTTTAGTTTCAGATTTCTTCATGCTTATTGAGATTTTAAAATTTTGCACGAATTCAAACATGCAAAACCAACCAAACAAAAAAGGCATTTTGCAACAAACTCTGTGTGTGCTTCCAGAGAGAGCAATAGGAATGAAAACCCATGGGGAAGAATTAGACTTTTTTTAATAGCCTTGCAAGAAAAGTCTGAGTCAGTGGTTCACTTTAAACTTAGGCTTTTGTTTTTCTTTGCTTCTGTATGTGCGTGTGGGAAAGAGAGGAGCTGCATATGGATGTGATTTTTTGAGCCTGTGTTCTATTCGTCTTTGATCCAAGTTCTCAGTGTGGATAAAAAGCGTAATTGTAACATAATCATGCATCTTCAAGAATCTGACGGCTGTGCTTATTTGAACTTCCACCACTTTACAAAGGACACGGTCAACTAATTGCAAGATCTTCACACACACAAAAAAGAAAATCGTTGTGCAGTAGGTTTGAATATTCTGCAAATACGTCATGTCTTAAGTAGTAAGATACTTGAGGGAGGTTGGGGAATAGTGAATGTGTCATCTTCCCTGATGAGCTGAAAAACAGACCGAGCCAGTGGAGTTTAGTGGAATCTGCTTAGTGTATTACAGACTTGCCAGTGTGGCCTGCTTTTTTTTTATTTATTTTTTTTATTTTATTTTCCTTTTTTTTTTTTGGTGTAATTAACTACTGATTGCAAGAGGTGAACTGTTTAACTTAATTTTTGTTTGGGCTCATTGACCCATGGCAAGTTTGAGTTTTAAAGAGGGTTTGATTCGACAAAAGAATGTTGAAAAACTTCAACTGAGGCTAATGGTGCCTTTTTACCTGAGAGCGAAAAGCTGAAAAGCACATATAAAGGAAGACACAGTCAATTTGGGAAATAAACGTATCTCTACCATACTTATAATTTCGAACAGGTAAGCCTGTCTCTTTTGCTAATTTTCACTGAACAGGGCCATCCTTGTCTTCTGAGAAGCAAGATATTTATAATGTAAATAGTTGCACTGGGTTTTTTTTTCCTTTCTCTGTAATTAATATGTAATAATCCAACACACTATTTCTGTTAAATCTTTTACAATAAGGCCGCTGTATGCCTAAAAATGGTTGACCTCTGACCTTTTCCTAAGTCAGTCATATGCTGAAAAGGAGGGTGCTGTAGGTTTCAGTGTACATATAGAATCATGTATATTTAGTAAATTGAGTAAGTGGGACTTATGGTCAGTATACATTAAGCCGAGACAGTAACAAAGCTCCAGATCTTAACTAGCAAAAACAACTGTTCACCTTGCCATGTCCATCCTGTACTAAGATCTAAGTTGCACCTGCCTGTAGTTCTGCATGATCAGACTTCAAAGTATAACTAACAAGATCTGTAATCTGTAATGTATCATTGTTGATAAATGTAGATGTAAAAAAAAAAAAAATAAGAAAAAAAAAAGAAAAAAGAAAAAACTTGACCAACAAAAGAAAATCAGCAACAGCAACAGTTCAGTATCAAGACTGGAAGATGAGACATGTCTGATTTTGTTATGCACTTATAGCTGAAAAGAACAACCAGTGTCAGTCAGCATAAACGGACTGCAGTAGTGACATTCGTTAAGGAACCAACTTTATTTCCATACTGTTTTGTTCTTACCCTGTTTTCCTTTGTCCATCTGTTGTTCCCTGTGTAGTACAGGGGAGAACAGGGCCTCAGTCATCAGTGTCTTACGGGTCAATGTCGCATCAATGATTTCTCATTTCTGTTCGTTACCGAATTAAGATGGGAATCTCCTGTTCTCCCCCATGTCAAAAGGAGTCCTGTCAGAGCTTCCTCACGAGGATACTTTTCTCACTGCTGTCTTGATTCCTGTCGGTTGAATGACTTTGCAGTGTTCCCAATAAACAGCACAACGCAGCAAACGGCATTGATTGAGGGTTTCATTACACGTGTGTTGTGCATCTGTGCTCTCCCGGGGGCTCAAGGTCGTGCAGGGACAGGACTCAGCTGAAATGCGGGATGCGTGACGCCCGGATCACACCTTTATGAACTTACAGTGCTAAAACTGCTGATCTTTACAGATGTGGATTTGGATCATCTCTTGTTTTTGGAGGAAAGCTGTGATGACCCTGGGTCCTTATCCCCCAGACCCCTTGGCTGCAATCTGGAGCCGCCGAGGGGAAGCTCCAGCGGCGCGAGGGCAGAGAGGTGAATTTCATGCTGTTCGAATGTCATCTTGCCAAAAAGCCTGTATGTCTCGCAGAGGAGACTGTGACTGTTCTCTAAGGAATGTTTGTGTTGTTTACTTTAAAACAAGCTTTGCTAATTAAAATAGTGTATTCCGAAGTCCTATTTGAATGGTGTGAAGGGTATCAATGAAGAATATACAAAGTATGCTCCTATAGCTCTCTTGGGTTCTTCTTTCTTTTCCTTCAGCCCTCATTATGGGACAGAGATAAAGCTGTAGACATGTGGAAGTTGCCAGGATTACAGAATCCTGATAAGTGATCTATCTGATGTGTTTCATAGGCTTAATCCTGTATACCATCATTCATTTAAAAAACGTTTACAGCGCTACAGGAATGTAAAGGAATCAATGCATATGACACTGCAACTTATATTTAAGTAGCTTAAGAGTTTATTCCTCTGGATGACTGCCTAAAAATATTGGGGGAAAAATGACCATATGACTGGAGAGAGGGAAGAAAAACTTCCAAGTAAAAGCTAGACCCTCTCCCATCTCTTCCCCCAATAAAAAATGCAAAACAAAATCAAGCCAACAAAAAAACCCAAACCAAAACAAAAAGACCCAAACCCACCATACCAACGGCAGTTCTATTTGGGGGCCTGATTCAACTGAAGTTCAATACACTTCACTCCAAGTGAAAAAAGAACAAAAAGGAGAGAAGTGCTGCTTTTGGGGAAACATTGCTGTTTTTTCTCAATTACAAGCTATCTGTGCCAGTTTTATTTCCAAGCAAGTCAAACACAAAGGACATTTTTATGTTTTAATTTATCATGTGTAGAGATGAAAATGAAAATCACAAACAGCCTTCTGTTGAAACAGTTTGAAGGGGGCGAGCTATAGAAAAGCATTAATTAAAGCACCTTGTAAGCCCTGTAAAGGAAGAAATTCTTACAGTTGTTGGTACTTAAATGCCATTTCAAACACAGTGTGCAGAGCTGGCACTCTTGCTCTGACTTGTTAAAACAGGATGATTTTTCAAGGTCTATTATCCCAGTTTGTATGTGCAAAGCTTGACCAAGCTACAGTGTGTAACACAAACCTCTGCTTTGCACTGGCTAGGGAATTTTGGCTTTGTGATTCGTACTGCAAAATGGGAAGGCACTTGGTACTTTTTGAGTACCAACTTTTTGAGTACTTTTTGAGTACAACTGAAGATTCATATTTCTTGAGAGGTTTGCCCTTTTCAGGACGAGTTTTTATGACCATATTTCAGGGATTTACACATCATTGAATCCAGCTGTAACTGTGATTTAGCTTCAAATAACGCAGAGTCCTAACTTCCAAAAAAATTTGAAGTTCTATTTGAACAGGCCTATCTCCTATAACGCTCCTTGTTATTCAGTGGAAGTACCTTTTGTAGCAACAGACCAGCCTTGGAATTTTTCTTCAGTCATCTTGTGTGATGGCCTAAACACCTCTTGTTTGGTAAGGGGGAGCACGTGCTGCGCGCTGACGAGCCGCGGCAAATCAATGGGATGGTCTGTGCTGAAGCAGAGTTGAAGGAAGGACATCAGAGCACCTCTGCAAAACTCCCCCTCCTTCTCCACTTGAAGCAAACAAAGGGGATGGAGGTCAGTGCCCAAACCGGTGAACGTTTCCTACGGCCATTTAAATGCCCTGGGACCAGTCCACAGTCCCCCAGCAGCATGCCTGGCTGCTGTGATCTGCACGTGGCAGGAGTTTGCTGGTTTGGTGGCAGCTGAAGTACCACTTCTCCTGTGGCACCCTCACGTGCCACTTGACGTGTACATCAAGTACGTACAGATACAGACCCACATTCTCTTGCTTTTCAACATGCTCTTCCAAATGGCATGGCTTGGAAGCTGCATTGCAAATCTGCTGTGCCTCCAAGAAAACACGATTATTGGTATAGTGTAAGGAGCCTGGGAGGAATTTTAGCTGGTTAAATTAACGCTGACTTCCTAATGTATTTGTCTTACTTTGAAATCAACTGCTGGGAAGGAGTAAGTGTTGTTTGTCTCCTGATGTTTCTGTATGATGTCCTGTCCACATTCCAGGAGCGCTTATATATGGAATAGTAATTAAGGTGCTGGAGAAAATAGCTCTCTTTCTGAATATGTCTACTTAATGGATAGACTGGGGCTTTTGTTCAGTAACTCCCATTGCGGGCAGTGGCTGACTGTTGCTGTCTGGAAGATTTTAGCCTTTCAAGCCTGGAACTAACAATGGGTACATTTAACGCTCCTCTAGGCTAAATTTGAAATGTGTGAAATTATACCCACCTCTACTCCACATCTAACATTACAGAATATGGGGAATTATCTTTGATTCTTACAAACTCATGAGGCAGAAATTACAAAGAAGTAGCTGCTGCAACAAAATACTCCTTCCACTTTCCAGAACAATTAATGGTTTAATGTGTGGATGAGGCAGAAGCTGTACAATGTCCCCTTCCTGCTGTTAACCCTAGCTAGGTAAAGATGTCCAGGATGTTACAAGATTAAGCTGTTAGTGATTAAGAAATTCATGACAGATACTATGAAAACATCCTGTAGTCTTGAACAAATATTTTAGTCATAAACAAATGTTCAGAAAGATTACTTTTGGAATTTTCTGTCTTGGAAGATATGTTCATGCAAATGTTTGCTGGATTTGTCCTCAGCATTCTCTAGATAATATTACTGCTCTTGGAGTTACTTTTTCAGTTCAGCTGCATCATCTTAGATGAGAAAGGATATATCTTAAGTGTTCTCATCAGAATGACAAATCATAGCTAGAATAAATGTTCACTTCTTGGTTTTCTTCTTTTTTTATATGAATAATTACCCTAAGTACTTTAACAACAAAAGTAAAAGTCCTGGAGGTATGTCACTACAGGGTGCTGTTAAAAGTGTCCATCCCACAGGTGTTCTCCAGAGAGCACTCTGCCTCAATCCAGAATTAACAGGGCTTGAACACAAATATATTCAGTTAACAAAGGTACTCTTCAACAAAATTGGAAATACTCTAGGGCCCAGCATGTAACTGAGTGGACTGAAGGATGAAGCCTTGGCTTTAAAATCTATGAACGTTATGAGAAATAGTCCAGGAATCAAACCTCATGTTTGAATACCGATGAATTTCAGCATTCCAAGGAGCCAGAACATTGTACAAATTCTTCTTCAAAAACCGAATGCAACATAACAGATCAGAGCACATGGTTGTCTTCTCAGAGCCCTGAGAGCTTCTCAGAGTCCTCTGAAATTTTTAGTGTGTGTCTTTCTGAAATGTGATTCTCTGCATAAAGGAAAACACTGATTTTTGGCAATCTGCAGACCTCTCATCTTTTTTGCACCAGAAGGAGAAAACAACACTGCAGCACAACAGCATGCTGCTGACTGCAGGTGGGTGAGTGGGAGAATGCTGGCCAGGTTTCAACACCGTTGTACTAATCAGCTTTAACTTTCTCACTTTGTTTTATCACAAGCACAAGACAGGGTTAATGAACATGGCAATAAAATTACAGCATGTATTGCTAAAATAATTCATTTGCCAACAACGTCCTGTGATTTTTTTAAATATATGAAGAAAGTTTTAATTTTCCTTTTTGGCCATAATTTTTAGCATAAGCAAACTGGCAGTTGGTTTTCGCACTGGGGTTTTAAGCAGTTATCACACAGACAAAGGCAACCACTGCAAAAAATCACTGCCACCATCACGTAACACTGAATCCAGGGGGACTGTGATTCCACAACAAATTTGCAACCAGTTCTCAAAACCGTCCAGTAACTGGGGAGAAAAAAAAATAAAATAAAATAATCAGTGTGCGGTGCAAAGAGTGTTTTTTAAAGCTGATGGAGGAAGGCAACCCTCATTATTCTGCCTTCTGCTCTGTGTTAGATCAGATCCCTTATCTCTGGTTAATACTGTGCTCATCTTACTCCTCAGAAGGTGGTACTGCAGAGCTGTATAGACACAGCTCCATTTAGCAAGGAGGATGCTCAGTCCAGGTGAGGAGTGCCACCTAAAGGCAAAAATGCACTTGGAAGCTCCAGGAGGAGCAAAATTGAGTGCACCCTTCACCCTGTAAATCATCTGCTCGATGCATTTCTTCTCCAGCCAGACTCATCCCGGATAGTTCATCGTGTACTTGATGGTCTGGAGCGTTTCTTGGACAAAGCATAATTCTACATTTTCAGTAAGTTTTCATTAATTTTTCTTCATTTTCCAATAAATGTTCTGTATTCATTTGTGTAAATCGCTGCCTGTAGCACAGGGGATGACAAGAAAGATGGTCAAATGAGCAGAACTGAGGGGTCAATGACTGGTACTAAACCGATTGGGAGTGGGTATATTCGGCCACCATCAATCTCTTCAAAACTACTTGGAGTCCTGGAAGTAAAAGGCCACAAAGAATTTAGGTATTATCTTTTACAGATTTTCTACTTGGCTGGTCTGTGTCTACTTGAAATTACACAGTGAAAACTTCTTCCAGCAGACCCTACAGATATGTCCAAATACACATGCTATGTAAGCAGATTTCTCTTCCGTTTAGACAGCAGTACAACTGGACAACACGATCATGCTGGGAAATTGCTTTGTGTTTTTCTCTCTGGAAATAGCAGCTATAGTTTTCTTTTTTCCTTTTACGTCCACTTTAAGAGAAAGGCATTGTCTGAAACACACCTTAAATACGCCCTCCTTCAATTTCTGGTAATAGTAAAAACAAGGGGGAGCTTTCTGACTTACCACAGTACCTTTTGGAATCTGTGCAGAACGTTTTTCTGGTTAAATTGCTATATTTAACACAAAGCAATTCCCAAGCAGGAAGATGTTGCCAGTCTCTGTTTCCTGTTCTCTGAGGACTCTCCTGTTCAGTGGACTCTGCCCTGATGGTGCGTGGGCTCTCTCCAGACATTCCACCTATACTTACTGAGGTAGTATATATTAAAAAAAAGAAAGGCACATTGTAAAACTGGAGAAAAAGTAACTACACATCCGTAATGGTAACTGTTTCCTAAAGATTGCCATGCTAACAGAATCTGTCATTGACTCAGTCTTGCACACCATTGTGCTGTGTAATGAAGAATCATAGAATCATTTAGTTTTGAAAAGACCTTTAAGATCGTTGAGTCCAACTGTAAAGCTAACGCTGCCA